CAGTGCAAACCAGGTCAGTTTTTGATTTTTCGGTTGGAATCAGTTGAACTCAAAAAAATAAACCGGTGCGCACTTTTGTAAACCGAGTATAGAAACAGGTTTTCAGTTTCAATTGAGTTGGAACAAATATAGCGATGAGAAATGAGGATGTGTTTCTAAAATATGTAATTTTTTTAGAATTTGTAAAGAAATAATGAAAACTAAAGAAATAATGAAAACTTCTTCGTTAGATTCAGATGAAGAAGATTTAATTGAGGTTAAGTCAATGACATATATAGTTTAAATAGACTGCTTATCCATACGTAAATAAAACGATGAAAAGCGGGTCGAACTGGGAGATGTTTTCTCTTTGTCTAGTGCATGCAATGTTTGTGTTTTGTCTCAATTTTGAGTGCTCACTGGTAAACAAAACTTTCACAGGACCGGTTTTAAAGAAAGTTTAGTCTAGTTGAGATTTTGTTCTCATTGTCATTACTCAGTCGGACATTTTGTTGAATTGTTTATTTTATTTAGTTTTAATTATACTTATGTTCTGTTTTTAATTATTTTTTTATTATTTGAGTATAAAAACTTGTTTTGTTTTTAAATTTAAATGGTGAATTGCTCTATAAAGGGTTGTAAGACCAGCTACAGAAATATAAAAAGTAACATTTCATTTTTCACGCAAGTATCAATACAAGTATGTACAAGGTAAATACGTTTATAATAATTTTATGAATTATAATTAATTATAATAATAATATTAATAATAAAGTATTTATTGTAAATACAATTACATAAATATTATTATATTCAAAGGCCCGAATTAGAGCTATCTGGGCTTTACAAGTATATTTTAAAATTTAGATACAGAGAAGTATCGTATAATAAAAACTCAATATAAATAGAAGAAAAACGGACATAAATACCAATACACTTTTATTATTTGATAGGTTCTTTCTATGTGAATTCTAGCTCTGGCAATTTTGGCATTAAGTAAAGCCTCTTGATGGCTGAACTGATTTTTTTTATTGAGGAAAGGAGGCTGTATAATTTGTATACCTTCAGCTTCTGTTATGTTTCCAATAAGAAAACCTTTGTTAAACATTTTACTATCGAGAAATGATTCACACACTTCAAGTATTGAACTTTGTTAAAAAATGTCTATTTCTGAAGTTCTACCACCATATGCTTCACTTTTGTAAGAAATGAGACCAGTAGGTGACACTTCAGTCAATATTTTAATAGTATGCCTCTTTTTGTAGTCAGAGTAATTTTTTAGCCTACAACAAAGACATTTGGCTTGCTGTATTGGGATTTCGGTACAATCAAGTAGTACTCTTACTTACATAGAGGCACATATTTTAATATTTCTTGTTTTGAAGGCCGAATTATACCATACTAAGAACGTCTACCAGTTTTATTAAAAAATGTTAAAAAATTTAATGATAAAAAGTTTCATTCACTCCAAATAAAATGGATAAGACATTATATCTTGCATATCAGTTTTCAACTTCATAAAAGTAAATATAACTTGATCCTTTACAGACATAACTGATCTCCTTTTTCCTATTCTTTAGAAACAACGAATTCCACAATGGTGGCTAATAACTGGAAGGATTGCAATTCTATTAAAGTAGATAGTTCTTTAGCACTGACAATTCTGTTTAAAAATGGATCAACTAAATCACCACTCTTTACTTGTGTTGAACAATCGATCCCAATTTTCTGCTTTTAAACGAAGTTTTGTAAATTAAGCAAAGCTCTTCAGCAGCACACAAATCTTTATTATCTGCTTCAGTAGTAGATATATGTTCATTAACTGCAAAAACACATTAAACATAATAATAAAAATTAACCAAACATTTTAAATTATGCATACGTACATCCATTGCCTGAAGAAGATAACTCAACACTTAACATTCTACTAGTACTGGCAACATATCATTATTTAAAGACAGTAGCTATAATTCTTGTTTTAGCTGGATTACTTTTCTTTTTATTAATAGTCGCTTTCTTTTTACCACTAATCTGAGCTAACTTACATCGACTAAGCTTAGTTGTACGTTTGTACATTGTATTGTAAGTCAGAATCTTTCTTTCCCCCTTACCGATGCTAAACGGATCTTGACGTCAACTAAGATTGCACTTTGTACCTAGTTCATTTTACTATGATGTTGATCAGATTTCCACTGGTGGAATCTTATTATTATTCATCAAATCATTCACATTCACCGCCAAAATAATCCTTAATTGTCTAAAGGGAACAAATTTTAGAATGTGAAAAAGCTACTAACTTTTAGTAAAATCTTTAAAAAGTTCATTCAATTTTTGCATAATATCTGCTTTTATAATGCGAAATAAATTTTGAAAGAATAATCAAATGTCCGAATAGTGCCACTATACAGTGGTCGTAATCTAAAGTTAATTATATACACATGAGTGTAAAATTGTTTATATCTATCTTCAAAATTGGTTAGATCTCTTAAAATGTTTTGAAAATTGGGAAACTAGACGTTATGACTCAAAATCCTTTTTTAAAATATCTAACGCAAGCTCCTGTCTTGAAATAAACATACAGATAATTTTTTTTTAAATTCAATTCCTACTTTGATGAAATATGAGTTTTAAACTCATTTGGGCCAGACCGATTCTGCCTGGTGAGCACTTGGCAAGCCAAGCAATATGACCCGCTTTTCGTCGTTTTGTTTATATATGGATGAGCAGTCTATTAATCTATATATGTCATTGGGTTAAGTTCAATAAAACTAAACTGCCAAAAATAAAAGATTAGTCATGTGTATGCATAGTATACGTTGACATCTTAAGAACTTAAACATAAGTAAGTTTATGTTAATCTGTTGATAAAATATTCTATAACAATATTAAATAAATGTTTTGAATGAAAGCTTGGCTTGGATCTTGTTTGGAATTTGGAAGGTACTACTTCTTATGAAGACTAGTCTTCATACTACTTCTACTTATCACTCAGATGACAGCTGTCAAATACAATATACAATGCACTGGGTGGTCAACTACCTGTTCGGTTGAAACAAGTTTGTATGACGTCACTAAATTGAACCAGTGCTGAACAACAAAAAGTCGCACTTCACGAGTGTGAACTGAGTGTGAACTGAGTGTGAACTAAGTGTGACCAGTCGAAAACACCTGGGGCCCTATTCTCCAAATTGAATGATGTGAACATTCCACTGTGGGATGTGAAGTGTCCTATCACCAATTTGTTCTCTCGGTCATCGTATTCAGTATTCTTGAATCATTCACATCTCATAGGTTCACAGAGCACCGCTGCCAAATTTAAGTTGTGCGTTACACAACTATTTTAGAAGGCACTTTACTTCTATTTTTTATTATTTTTTGACAAATTGTAATAACATATTATATTTTCCAGTATTTTTTATTAAATGCCGTGCCAAAGGTTTACTTAGACGAACATTTTTTATGAATATTCGGTCACTAAAGTCAGAAGGATCCTCTTTTCTTAAAAAAAGTCTATTTGGTCAATTAACATCTTCTTCCGCTCAGCTAGATCATTCAAAATATGAATATAAATAAGAGCTTCGTCCAAATCCATTTTAATTAAAAAAAGTGACGTTTTGATAGCGCAAGACAATGACAGTTCTCCCAATTTTCTCCCGAAATGATACTCTTCTACTGGTTTTGACTGAGAAGTATGTTCTTTCGATTTTCATGCGAAGTGATCATTCATTTCAATTCAAGAATACCACCACACACTTTTTAGGAGAACGGCTGTCCAGTTCGCATGAAGTCATAAAATTTCAGAGAGAGTTGAAAACGAAGTAACGGAATCAGACAGTAAAACAAATTCACATCAAGAATTAGAACATCAAATTGGGTTGAGTAATAATGATGAAACATGTGAAAATAAAATACCAGTCGAAAATGATCCAGCAATCGAGCCAAGACGATCAACTAGAATCAATTTTGGTCAACCTCCTGACCGATATAACATAAATCACATATATGAAGTGGATATTCAGGAGGAGCCTCATAATTGTTTTGAAGCAGTGACAAGTAAAAACAAAATAGAATGGATAAAAGCAATGAATGATGAAATAAAATCGATACAATAGAAAGAAACATGGGAATTAGTAGATTTCCGCAAAATAGAAAAGCTATTGGATGTAAATGGATCTATACTATAAAATTAAACGTAATAGTGATGGAACATATAAAGTTAGGTTAGTAGCAAAAGGATTTAGTCAAAAATTTGGAATGGACTACAATGAGATATTATATATGCTCCAGTGGCACGTCATACAACTTTTAGAGTGATGTTATCGATTGCCGCAAAAAGAAATATGTATGCATTTTGGTTTCCTTTTTACTGACTTGTTTGCACCTTTTTTAAAATTCTTCCTATGTACCTTCACGTGTCTTTTTAATAACTCTTGGACCGTTCTTTTCAATGTCTATTTTTGGGGGAGATTTTGGACTGAGTTGGACTAATTACTCTTTTTGGAGTGGTTTTTGACTAAGTTGGTCAAGTATTTTCACTAACTCTTTTTTGATAATATTCTCTTCTACATCAATGTTTGCCATTCTATTATGTTCACTGAATTTGGTTGTGCTGTCTAAGAAAATTAAAAATATTCAAAAAAGTTTGATGGATAGGCAGTTGGCGTCCTGGATATCTTCTTTCATATTCCCTTACAGCTGCTCTCCATTACAAAATCCGTATACAAACAAAATATCGAAATATTCGTCATTGGAAAATTGATAAGGCATTTCTAGATTTGATTACTTAACAACAATACTTGCAACAAAGAAACCTTAATGAATCGTCGTATGAAATTAATTTATTAGCTATCAAAAACTTATTTCTTGCCTTCTAGATAAAGTTATTTATAAAACAGAGAATACATAATACATGTGAAGAATAATCCTAAGAATGGCAATCTAACTCAATCGCTAGTCGTTCGCCAGTTTATAACCGTCTATTTTATATTCGCTCTAAGTAATTCGATTCTCTATTGTTTCAGGATGAAAGCAGGCGCTGGACATCTGAGGATGGCGATGGTGGCGTTAGCCGCGGCGGTAACGGTGGCATATCCTGGTACGGCGACAGCATCGCCGCCGCCTGAAAATCGATACGCCAACGGCGGCGGTAGCGAAGCCGACAGAGCAACAGATTCCCATAGGGAAAATCCAGCTGGTGCTGCGAGCAGGCACTCCGATAATGGAGATACGCACGAAAGGTGGAAAAGGGCATTCGCGCCTTGGAATGGAGAACATTCTGAGTTTCAAACGTAAGGTTTTTTTCTATTTAACCTACTTTTCTACTTAGGTACATTTACTTAATTATACTTTAAAAGCTTGAGCTAAAGTTGGTCTATGATTTATTTTTTCTTAAAATGAGAGATTTCGAGTTGATTAAAATTTTTATATTAAGGGCGATTTTCATGAGATTGTGAATTTGGCGTATTTGATATGTAATTTATCTAGGCTTAAGGATGTTTATTATTGTCAAAAAATTAAAATAATTATATACTTTTAATCAATAATTGACGAAGAAAACATGACTCATGCTCAAACAGATTGCGTCTAGACTAGACGGATCGGCATTTAAAAGTGTGTATTCAAATGATTTTTGTGATAAATATAATAATAATAAATGACTTTATTGCTCTCATAAATACAAATGAACAATAATGTAATTACCCAAAAAAATATATGAATCGTCCCATGCATAAAGGGCACATGTCCAAAAAGTTAACTTTTCAGGAATCAAGAAAAACTAAATATCTTCGAGAAATTTTTTTTATTCATTTTGAAAATTTTAAGGGTAATTATATATATAAAAAAAAGTTTATGCATGCATACTTATCAAGTTTAGGTGAGTTGGTTATCATTGAGAATTTTTTGAAAAAATTGGACATGTGCCTTTTTTGCTAAAAACTAAAAAACAACTTACATTTAGCCATTTTTTATTAAAAAAAATATGTTAATACAAAATAACAGTCTATTAAATAAAATAATGAGTTTTAGTCATCTGCATTATCGCTCGCTATAGGCCTTTTCATCACAATTTTTTTTTGTGCGCATGCATCCCTATCAGCCATATGGGATAGATAAAAAAGTAAAGTAATAAGTATCTTAATTGAAAAATCAAGTTTTGCAATCAATTAATTATGTTATCTTTACGGAAAGTTTGTAAAAGTGACAGACGGTATATATTATTATTTTATAAAAAGACTTGCCTGCAATATCGTAAAAAAACTATCAAATCATTAGGCAAAATACATATTAAAACATGTTCAAAATGAGCATTATGAGTGAAAAAATGTGGTCGAAGTGACAAAGGTTTTCGATCGATTCATGGATGATGTTACTAAAGATACTTATATTTGTTCACTACATTTTCATGAAGAAAGTGGTTCAACAGAAGAAAATCCTTGTCTAGTATTACACAATATTTTTTAATATTAAATACTACTTCGGAATACACAGTAATATTATTAAAAATGTTATTTGATCCTTAAAATTTTAAATAATTTATCTTATTAATTATACTCGTGATTAACTTTCATCTTAAGTGTTTCTGCAATTTTTAATAGTTTGTTGGCATAATTAATTAGAATAGAGTTATAATTATTATTTGTTTTTATTCATTTTTTACACAGTTAATATGTATTGAAACCTAACCTCTCAATCACCACACTTTTTGTCTTTGTTCCGAACGTCCACGTCACTTCAAGAACCTTTTTAATTGCTCACAACTATATGCCTTCACAGAGTTATCAAAATGTAAATCACCATCAACGATTTTTTCTAATGATTGATTTGTATGTAAAGATAATATTGCTTTTCCAGCCATTGTTGATCAAAACAGTACGAAACTTTTAAATTGGCGCTATTTTAACATGGCGGCTGCGCTTGCGCTCATCACATGATGAAAAGACCTATTGTTGGCCACTATTAAGTCATAGAAATTCTTATGTTCTTCTTCTTTTACAAACTGTACACACTTCTTTATGTCAGCGATCTTTCTCATTTTTATTGGTACTTGACCTGTGGGATATTCGAGATTACTTGGAAAACGTGTGTTGACAATCCATCTATGTATTCCTTTACCTCTAAACAACCTGGTTTTTCTGAATAATATTTAAAAAAAGAACAGGAAGAAATCGTAAAATGAACTTTGTCTGACTGCTTAATATTTCGCGACTTACTTTCTTCTGCTATACAATTTTTTTTGTATAAACCTGCCCACCAATTTTTGAAGTCTAATATTTTGTCTGTTGACATTTCTTGAACAGTAAACTTTTTTTTCTTGCTGCTGCTAATGATTATCTCTGTTATTTCATGAATAGTAAAAAACCTATCCTTTTTTCACGCATTTATTTATAGAGCCAGTCGACTTGTTCCCATCAAGAATTTCGAACATTCTATTCGGAATATAGTTTTGATCATTTAAAGCCAAACGAAAGATGAAATCTGTACCTATTCAAGAATACCTGTAAATAAAATAATGGCAACATTGACAAATCATTTTGCACTCTGTATGTATTTGTGACTACATCGTATTTTAGATTTTCTTGTTCTATTTCATGAAGCTGTAAAGTCATTTGCTACAATTTTCTTTACTGTTCGAAAAAAATTAGAATTAATATTAATTAGGATTAGGATTTGTATTTAAAGGGACTAATTTTTTTAATATAAAATATCAATTATTCTATTTAAAAAAATATTACTAACGTCACAGTTTCGAGAAATAGATAACACACTGCATAAAGAACTTTAAAAGAAGAATTTACTTACGACCTATCAAACAATAGCTGCCAGTGAGCAGGGCTCTTATATCTTAGGGGGTTGCGACATAGTCTTTCTTCCATCTTGGACGCTATTTTTACTCGAAATAGTAGTCGCCAAGCCTGTCAGTTTATGAAAAAATACTTTTTTAATAATATTTTAATTGTGTTCAATATAAAATATTTAAATTTAATCCCTTGTTAATGGTTTACGAATTGCAGATAGAATACATCATATGTCGCAACTTTCTAAATATACCTCTAACAAGTTCTTTTGTTTTCAATGCCTAAATCAATATTAAGCTGCGTAAAGACAGTGTCAACGAATGCCAACAAAGGGGTTTCGTTGGCGTGGCATAGACAGTTTAGTGAATACCAACGAGTGTTCGCTGGCGTTTGCCGACTAGCGGATTCGTAGTGGTAACATCAAAGAAGTGGGCGACTCAAACGAATGAAATGTGGAAAAATGTCCATACGAGTATCATACCATAATGAACATTTAATCCAGATACGTGCTCGAACTAACGTTTGATCGAACGAACAACAAATACATGTACGAGTATATTGTATATTAACGATACCCAAATTTGATTTAGTTAAAAAAATTAGCAAAGTTACGATTATTTTGACAATTTTCAATTTTTTTATGTTTAGAAAAACTAAATGAATTTTTTTAGAAAAGGTTTCAGCGTAACACAAATTTACCTTAACACGTACATAGGTATATTTTTCTTTTACAATTTATTGACAAATGTGAATACAAGACACATTGTGAACATTAGACAAATGTGAATATAACACTAAGAAAAACTAGAATAAAATATAAAAAATGATTATACCGAGAGCTGAATCCAAACGACTTCTGGTTTGAAAAGTCAACGCCTTATCCACAAACCACATTCGCTATATGCATTTGTTTGCGAGACAGTATACTAACGATGCGAAAGCCAAAGTAGAACAAGTTTAGTAGTTTGTGCAACAAGAGTTGATATGGACAATCCACTTGAGTTGTACAGTATATTTTTTCTACGACCCACTAACAAAAATCTACAAGTTTAAAAAATTATTTTAGGTTTTTAAAACAAAATATCTACTTTTAAAATAATTTTTGACTTTAACTAATTTATAAAATAAAATTAACATGAAAAAATAGATTTAATTTAATTAGTCGAGTAAAAGACAAACGTCGTATCATCACCTCCATCGCTACACTTATGATTTTAGTTTTAATACTCTTAATTAAATTAGTTTTATATAGGTACTTCGATTAAAATTTAAGATTTATTTGTAAACGTAGACAAAATAAAAAGAAATGCTATTATTTATGAATTCTACACAAGAATAACTCATTTTTAAGTATATATAATCTTAGTTACTAAAAAATATACTGACTACTAGTATGACAGAATTGTCACTCATATAAAATTTAAAAAATAATAGTAGCCGAGTGGCCAAAATATGAACAGTGATTGGTGGATTTAATTTTTTTGCAGTGTTCGTACTAGGTAAAATGGATATGAAATATATTCGTTAAGTTGAACGCAATGGCATAATTTTTCGTTTTGTAGTTTTTGCGTAGATAAGCTAATACCCAGGTGGGTGTAGAAAAAAATGTATTCATACTTATTTTTTACAGAATCTACAGAATGAATATGTAACTACATATCAGTATATTAAATGAATAAAACGTTATATCTATTCTATATTGTGTATATTGTGTATCGGATCGATGGCGTAGGTGTCTAACGCGCTCGCATTTATTTGTGAGCAATTCGTGGTTCTGAGACGGCTTTGAATCCTACAGAAGTCCATGTGAATTTTTTTGCATGGTTTTCTATAGAATTAGATAGATGCCGTATTAGCAGAAATTTCCGTTGATGTGATATCCAGATTATAAAAATCGCCATGCATTATCTTTGCGAAGGTGGTATAAGTCAAATGGCACCATCAATCATCTTTAAGTCGCCCCGAAGCGCCACGGCAAATAATAATAATAATAGCCGTCCCTTTCCGAGACAAGCACAGCTTCTGGGGTTAAATTCACTCGTAAGGGGGTGAATTATGGAGAGTATTATTATTAAATCCACCAAATGTTTAGTAGCCCGCCAACTAAATTTTCTACATCCACAAGGATATTATACATATATTCCAACATAACCTAACCTAAAAGTAGGCCATTACATTCTACTGAATGAATATAAAATATTCATTCTAGAAAGATCGGACTACTATTATTTTTTTAAATTTTTAATGTGACAATTCTGCCAAACTAATTGTCACTATATTTTCTAGTTATTGAGAATAAATATAATTTAAAATGTGTGTTTTTGTGAAGAATCGATAAAAAAAATATTAGCATCCTACAAGATATTCGTTTATATTTACAAATAAATCGTAAATTTTATTGACACTAAACCTATCTAAATGTCAGTATTAAAAAAAAAGTTGTTTGTCTCGTTATTGCAAAGATAGAGTAGTGAGTTTTCATGCAAAATTCA